CGATAGGTCCATATGAACAGGATCCTTCCCTCCTTTTCTCGGACTGGGACCTGTTCATATATGTTCTTGGCAGATGATCCAGAAGTGGTTTGCCATTGCCTTCTTCTGTGTGTGGATGGAGTAATTGTTGGGATGCCACGGAGGAAAACTCCGTGTTGCCTAGACCACGGCCTTGCCCAACACAAGTTATAAATTCGGGCACCGCCGGGAATCGAACCCGAGACCCCCAGGATTACAAGGCCAGCGTTCTAACAGCTAGACCACCATGGCTATCGTCACCGTCTACTTATTCTTTAAATGTTACGCTTTCTGTATACGTTCGGACTACCTTGATATCAAAAGGAAGTAACTCTGTAGGTGAACAACTGAAACTGTTTACAAGCAGATGAGAATCATGAAAGTATTTTACAAGTTTACAATAAAGTTCGAGATCACGTGTTTTATATTAATCAAATCAACTTGACAAGGTTTCTGTTAAATAAATTTCCCGCACGTCAGAGAGGGATAAATTTTTTGAAACGGCACTCACCGATACGGTTTTGGAATCTGCCCGGTCTCGGCGTGGTTCGCAAGGTTGGCAACTATGTCCTCGAGCATCTGAGAGCGCGTGCGCTCTTGCATGCGCGCGAATTTCGGCGCAGAGTAGCTTGCGCGCTCGCCGTTCACGATTAGCCACTCCCGGAACATCGGGCCCTTGTCGAAAACCGACTGCTCCCACAGGTAGGGCTTGTAGGCACCCACCTCGTCCCGGGTCACCACGGACACCTACAAAAAAACAAAATCGCTTTTAACTCAGACGGAACAGAAAGGAAAACAACAAATGTTTCCATTTATTTCGGAAATATTTAAATTGCTTGTATTACACCGAACATCCAGAACACATAAGAAATGATAAATGCATACAGGATTTTCGTCGACAAACCTGAGATGGCGTTGCATCTGTTGAAGATGGAGGTTCTTATTCCAGCTCCCGCCGACTGTGAAGTGCGGTCAGTGATAACGCTCGGCCGCACACGGCTCGACGGACAGCGAGTCTCCTGCAGGAGTTCAGCTGGGAGGTGTTTGATCATTCACCCTACAGCCCGGACCTCGTTCCCAGTGATTTCCATCTTTTCCTACACCTCAAGAAATTCCTGTCCGGTCAGCGTCAGCGTTTTGAGAATGACAGAGAGGCGGAGATGGTTGTCACACAGTGGTTCCAATCCCAGGCGGGCGACTTCTACGACACAGGTATTCAAAAGTTGGTCCCCCGGTATGACCAATGTCTCAATTCCGGTGGTGAATATGTTGAAAAATAGCTGGACACTTGCTGTATCTGTTGCAATAAATATTTCCATGAAATTGTGTTTTGTTTCTGTAAACGGCCCCAGGGAAACTTACTTTGAGGACGCGCCTCGTATTAAAATGGATTTGGAAGAAACGAACTTGGAGGGTACGTACCGGATTCATCCGAAACTCTATATGAATCAAAAACTGGTTCCTGTGTGCACGGCAAAGACGTACAGGTTTCATAATATCTGGCTGTCGGCCTTGGTCTTCCGGGTTGAAATGCCATGTGGACTTTTAGGTAGATTCCAACTGTTAGGAGGAATGTGCTGGGCTGAAATCCTACCCACAAGCCCACGTGGGGTGACAACCGAGAAGACGAACGTCGCCTCCGATCTCACAGCTTTTGTGCTCACTTCGTATCGAGTGGGTTTCCTCTTTATCCGCGGGCTGGTCCGTACGAGGATGAACGTGTGTAAGAAGTGGGACTTGATGCAGGCGGGCGAGAAGGACGTGTTGTCAGCCTCCAGGAACACCACACACACGATGTCGTTGCCGATGTGCCGCTTACGTTGCAGCTGAAACAAAAGCGCATCGTGGAGCGAATGTGGCAGGAGATACTCAATAGGACACGAGGATGAGTTTAATACGAAATATTACGACGTAAAATTATTGGATCAAGAATTAATACAGCAAGTTCTTTTAAAAGAATTTCGAAAGAGATAAAGGGGAAGCAGACATGAAAGGGTGTGTGTCGGAAGAAAATACTGGAACTTAAATTAAATTATATATTTCGGTACAAATTAAAAGCAAATAGTAATGGCTACAGATAGGCAATACCAGCAACAAATATATTCTTCATATGAGCAATTTCTCATAACAAGTTTATTTCATATTTACTTCTAACTTCACGGAAATTAAAATTTGTCATCAGTCACGAATATTGAAATTTTTTTTCGTAGAAGAACAATGAAATGGGCGGGGCATGTAGCGCGCATGGATGGGACAAGAGGTGTGCACCGGGTATTGGTTGGGAAGCCTGAGGGGAAGAGCCCACTGGGGAGACCTAGACGTAGATGGGAGGATAATGTCAGGCGGGATCTATGGGAGAGAGGAGTTGAAGGCGACTGGATTTTGTTGGCCCAGGACAGGGTCCGGTGGTGGGCTTTGGTTAATTCGGTGATGAACCTTTAGGTTCGGTAAGCCATCTAGTTAGTTAGTTAGAAGAACAAAGGACGAAGAAGTCATGTATTCAATTCCAGATAAAAGTACAATTTTCTTTAGGTTACTTTCTGAAAAAAATATAGTTCATCTCACCAAACATTATCCTTTTTTTCAATTTGGTGCACAGGAATGGAATATTCAAAACATTTCGTGATTAGAACATTTATTATACAGAACTGGTAAATATGATACAGGCAATTTGAAATGAGGGATCTCTGCCTTAAGACCTGTGGAAGTCTTGAATCTGTTCTTGTGGGAGAAAGTTTCCGGAGAAATTCCCGCAATATCAACTCACCTTCTGGGGGTCGTGCCTCTCGTAGGGGAGCTGCGTCGACACGTGGAACATGATCTCGATGCTTCGCCAGTTGGTGTACACCGAGTACAGGCCAGTCAGGTCGTGCACCGTGTCCAGTCCGCCCTTGTACTTGTCGAAACCTGCAGCATTCGCGCCTGCGCTGTAACAGCCTTCCGAACTTCACGCACAAGCAACAAATTAACTTAGTGGCATTTTCTGGTTCTCACGACGGCGATGGCCGCCCTGATGATGGAGGCAGTAAGCACTTCTGAAACGTCGATCAAGTTTCGCGATACGACACGGCGCTACTTCCTAGAAGACAGTACCTCCAACGTCGTATTTCGGAAGGAGATGTGCGTGGAAAATGCAGGAAGTTTCTTAATCCTGGACAAATCGGGTTTTATTTTCAATAAATGCTTCCTGCTTAAGTTCGATACATATTACTGGAGCAGCCAAACCAAGGAAGATAAGATTGACTGGGAATGTAGCACACAATGAGGAAGTCTAAAAATATATTAAAAACTACAGTCAGAACATATGAAGTGACGAAACCAGTTGGGAGACATACCTTTGCATAGGAGGATAATATTAATACGAAGCTTCGCAGTATGAGGTCAGGTCATCCATCTACGTTATTTACGTTTCAGAGTTTGCACGGCGTCTAATGCGAACGGAAAATCATGAACGGTGAATATGAAGGAACTTATCAAACACATTTGAAAGTACAATTTCAAAATTCGTCAGCAGAATATAAGATCAACCACGAGGAATCTCATTTCAGGATGGAAACGTGGACGAGATTCGAACCGAATATCTCTCGAACGCGTCTCAACAGAGCACATCTCAGCTCAGTGCGGGCACTAATGAGATTAACAAAATAGGTCTGATTTAACCCTAATGACAAATGCCAATTCAACTTATCGACAGCGCGATATGAAACATTAATGTGACAAGCTGTTGCCCTCTTTCGGGAGTCGGGTAACACCATTACTCACCCTTGAGGCGAACCTTGTCCCCCAGGATCTGCAAGAACTCCTCGAACAGGAAGCTGTTGTCGTTGTTGTCCAGTATCTCCTCCTCGGTGTACTGCCCCTCCTTCACGTAAATGACGCCCACCTTCAGTTCAGACTTTATGAAAACCTGCACAAGGAAACGGAGACCCGTGAGACTTCGAGTTCTCACGCGGCGAGTCTGAAGATGGATGTCTTCTGGGTTCTTGCGCCGTGTAGCCTGACAGACGTTCACCCCGACGTTTAAAAGGTGCTTTCTGCTTCCATCATCAGGGACCAAGACAACAGAGGCAGAAACAACCAACAAGAAAATGCAAAATTAAAGGTGATCGGTGTTTTTGCACTGCGAACTAATTTCCAGACACAACTTCACTTCCCTTTTCCCAAATCGGGGTATTTTAGGACTGCGACGCCGCCACGTGGTATTGTAGTTTGTTATCAACGTTTCGGAGGAATGTGTCACCTCAATCTTCACCCTGGAGACCAAGAGACAGGACCACAACTCTTCACTCCCGTCCTTGTGTCCTTTAAGGTAAGTGAACAGACAGAAATGTTTTTCGTTGGTAGGAAACAACGTTGAACTTGAATTGCTTTTGAGGTGACAACTCCAGTCTTTATCACAGAAAACACAACCTAAAATGCTCCTGGAATATGATGCTATGAACAGCAGAAGATGTTTTCAACCATAACTGACAATAAATTCTGACATAAAACTCGAGAACATACTTTTATCCAATAAGATATTTAATACGCGTGCGTGTATGACGAAGAGCCACGTATAAGTACTGTTATATGTCGAACTTTAATGGAATTAGGAGCCAAATTCCATACGAAAAGTGAATTACAGCAAATCTGTGCTTATAACGCAGTGTTAGTGAAATTACTTTTATAACCAGGAGTAATGGGTGACCACTAACACCGCAGTGCACCAGATACAAATAAATGGGGCGGGATTAACAGCAGGAGATGAGTAACTATGGCAACACTGCAATTAGCTGTGTACAAATGAAACCAGACAGCAGTAAATACAACAGAAATAAACGACAATCTTTAATTTATTTTACAAACAAATCTAATTAATACCTGTTAGTGTAAACGAAGAAGGTATTCATTAAATACATGCTACTAGCCTACTACGTTTGTCAATACGAATTAAATTAATTAATGTCCAGTTTTGATGAAACTTTTGTTACTACGAAGCAGATTCAAGTAGCTTTTAAGCAGAGGTTCACAGAAGCACAGGTACGGTGCTTTATATACGCATTAGTGAAAGAAATGTGTTCAATGTTATTCACTAGACTGTCAATATTTGGACATACAAAGAAAATTTCAAAGACACTAATTGGTTCTATTTTTCTCTAAACTATAAATATTCCATTATATTATTTTATATAGTTCAAAGAATATTAGTTCATTTTTCACAGAGAAACCATCTGGTTCATATCAAAGACAGAATTAAAAGTTTGAAGTTCAAAGTGACTTGGATAAGGAATCTTATAGGATACACGGGGATATATACGTAGTGACAGCTTAGTCATTCCTAAACAACAAAGCAGAGAGATGCACTCAGTTCCATGAAATAAAGAAAGATTGGGTTAAGTCTTCAATGTATCCTTCCGCGCACAGGGAAATATGAAAGCAATGTTCAAAGACAAATGGGGGAATGTACAGCATTCACAAGGGAAATTAAAGACAGACGGGCTCTATACAAAGGGCACATCGTTCCGGTAATAATAACACGAAGACAAATAATCCAAAGGAGTTATTGGAAATAACAAACACTGAAAATTCATCCAAATACACAAACACTTGTCGATGTGAACGGTGAAAATTATTTAGAATTCTCAGAAACAAATTGCAATACGGTATAATGAAAGAAATGTTTTCAATGTCGTTCATGTGAGCTGTGGCGAGGTGTGAACTGGCAGGCAGATATCAGCGTCTCGAGGAAACATACTGTCTCCATCTTCGAGGCTGAAGTATCCACTTACGAGTCCACACGGCGTCACAAACCAGAAGAACAACATGGATATCGATGAGAACCTAAAATCACGTGTGTTCTGTTCTGCCCGTGGCGCTGAAGAGGAAGTTTCGGCAAAATCGATGTTTTGTGCTATGAATCGATTACAAGCAGCGGAAACACACAAGTGAAACACTAAAAATAACCCCATGGAGCAGAATCCTGTGGAAGCTGATAGCTGCCCATCCATAATGAAAACGTTTATCACAAGAGTCCGCCAACATATCCATTCAGCACAATCCCCATCTTAACATTGCAGGATTCGCATCTAGAAGTTATACGAGAGCAACTACTTCGTCCATCTGCCTACATGTTAAAACTTCGACAAAGCCCGGTTGGATTTTCACGTCACGTCAGGTGATTTTATATAAGTTGTCGAAATATTCCATCAATTATTTGTTTTAATCCGTCTGATGACAATATAAAATTTTTATTTAAAATTTCTTATAATTAAGATAATAAAATATCATTCATGTTCCATATCGATTGATCGATTTACATTTTCGGAACATTTACACAACATGTTTCGGTTTTTATAAAACCATCATCAGGTGTAAAATATATCTAAGAACTTAAAACTCAATTATGATTTCTGTAGTTTTTTGGTGATGTTTCATTACGTTTGTTTTTCCATTTTTGGGCGAAGGTGTTGTTTTTCTTAAATGTTATTAGATTACATATCGGCCAAAGATGTAGGAGTGAGTCTGGGGAGACCTAGACGTAGATGGGAGGATAATGTCAGGCGGGATCTATGGGAGAGAGGAGTTGAAGGCGACTGGATTTTGTTGGCCCAGGACAGGGTCCGGTGGTGGGCTTTGGTTAATTCGGTGATGAACCTTTAGGTTCGGTAAGCCATCTAGTTAGTTAGTTAGAAGAACAAAGGACGAAGAAGTCATGTATTCAATTCCAGATAAAAGTACAATTTTCTTTAGGTTACTTTCTGAAAAAAATATAGTTCATCTCACCAAACATTATCCTTTTTTTCAATTTGGTGCACAGGAATGGAATATTCAAAACATTTCGTGATTAGAACATTTATTATACAGAACTGGTAAATATGATACAGGCAATTTGAAATGAGGGATCTCTGCCTTAAGACCTGTGGAAGTCTTGAATCTGTTCTTGTGGGAGAAAGTTTCCGGAGAAATTCCCGCAATATCAACTCACCTTCTGGGGGTCGTGCCTCTCGTAGGGGAGCTGCGTCGACACGTGGAACATGATCTCGATGCTTCGCCAGTTGGTGTACACCGAGTACAGGCCAGTCAGGTCGTGCACCGTGTCCAGTCCGCCCTTGTACTTGTCGAAACCTGCAGCATTCGCGCCTGCGCTGTAACAGCCTTCCGAACTTCACGCACAAGCAACAAATTAACTTAGTGGCATTTTCTGGTTCTCACGACGGCGATGGCCGCCCTGATGATGGAGGCAGTAAGCACTTCTGAAACGTCGATCAAGTTTCGCGATACGACACGGCGCTACTTCCTAGAAGACAGTACCTCCAACGTCGTATTTCGGAAGGAGATGTGCGTGGAAAATGCAGGAAGTTTCTTAATCCTGGACAAATCGGGTTTTATTTTCAATAAATGCTTCCTGCTTAAGTTCGATACATATTACTGGAGCAGCCAAACCAAGGAAGATAAGATTGACTGGGAATGTAGCACACAATGAGGAAGTCTAAAAATATATTAAAAACTACAGTCAGAACATATGAAGTGACGAAACCAGTTGGGAGACATACCTTTGCATAGGAGGATAATATTAATACGAAGCTTCGCAGTATGAGGTCAGGTCATCCATCTACGTTATTTACGTTTCAGAGTTTGCACGGCGTCTAATGCGAACGGAAAATCATGAACGGTGAATATGAAGGAACTTATCAAACACATTTGAAAGTACAATTTCAAAATTCGTCAGCAGAATATAAGATCAACCACGAGGAATCTCATTTCAGGATGGAAACGTGGACGAGATTCGAACCGAATATCTCTCGAACGCGTCTCAACAGAGCACATCTCAGCTCAGTGCGGGCACTAATGAGATTAACAAAATAGGTCTGATTTAACCCTAATGACAAATGCCAATTCAACTTATCGACAGCGCGATATGAAACATTAATGTGACAAGCTGTTGCCCTCTTTCGGGAGTCGGGTAACACCATTACTCACCCTTGAGGCGAACCTTGTCCCCCAGGATCTGCAAGAACTCCTCGAACAGGAAGCTGTTGTCGTTGTTGTCCAGTATCTCCTCCTCGGTGTACTGCCCCTCCTTCACGTAAATGACGCCCACCTTCAGTTCAGACTTTATGAAAACCTGCACAAGGAAACGGAGACCCGTGAGACTTCGAGTTCTCACGCGGCGAGTCTGAAGATGGATGTCTTCTGGGTTCTTGCGCCGTGTAGCCTGACAGACGTTCACCCCGACGTTTAAAAGGTGCTTTCTGCTTCCATCATCAGGGACCAAGACAACAGAGGCAGAAACAACCAACAAGAAAATGCAAAATTAAAGGTGATCGGTGTTTTTGCACTGCGAACTAATTTCCAGACACAACTTCACTTCCCTTTTCCCAAATCGGGGTATTTTAGGACTGCGACGCCGCCACGTGGTATTGTAGTTTGTTATCAACGTTTCGGAGGAATGTGTCACCTCAATCTTCACCCTGGAGACCAAGAGACAGGACCACAACTCTTCACTCCCGTCCTTGTGTCCTTTAAGGTAAGTGAACAGACAGAAATGTTTTTCGTTGGTAGGAAACAACGTTGAACTTGAATTGCTTTTGAGGTGACAACTCCAGTCTTTATCACAGAAAACACAACCTAAAATGCTCCTGGAATATGATGCTATGAACAGCAGAAGATGTTTTCAACCATAACTGACAATAAATTCTGACATAAAACTCGAGAACATACTTTTATCCAATAAGATATTTAATACGCGTGCGTGTATGACGAAGAGCCACGTATAAGTACTGTTATATGTCGAACTTTAATGGAATTAGGAGCCAAATTCCATACGAAAAGTGAATTACAGCAAATCTGTGCTTATAACGCAGTGTTAGTGAAATTACTTTTATAACCAGGAGTAATGGGTGACCACTAACACCGCAGTGCACC